GAATAGCGCTGAGATAGAGCCACCGGGGACACCCTCAACAAAGGTGGGTGGTGGGGGTGAGGGTGGGGGGGGAGGTGGGGGTGGGTGCTGCGGCGGGACCTGATTTATGGAGTCGTGCTCTGTTGAGAGGTATGAGAGGGCTGGGCTGTCATTAGCTGTTGAAGGGCGGATGTGATTATAGCCGGGGATGCATGAGAGCACGTAAGCACGACATGACAGGTTGATGGGACACAACCTAACAAGGAGTTTGTCAGTATGCCTGTCGGTCTATGTGTCAGTATGTCTGTCAGTATGTATGTATGTATGTACGTATGTATGTCTTTTGGGGGGCCTGTTCTGGGCCGGAGACTCTTGTGTTGGGGTTTGTTCTCTCTTCCTTCCTTTTTCCCTCTCCATCACCCCTCTCCCGCTATCCGCATACTCTGTACCCTTCCCGCTTTCCCAGGACTGGTGCGAGCTGGTCTTTGTACTGCATGAGGCCCTTTTGGAGCTCAAACAAGCTGACCCCGCCGCGCTGGATATCTTGTGCAAAGAGCTGATCAAGGTGCGGCGGAGGGGCGGAGGATTTACTTGCGAGGGCTAGATGTGCGATGTCAATCAATGAGTCTCTGGTGCTCTACTTATCTTTCGTCGGCTAGTTAGCCACTAAGTACCTGAGAGCGCCCTGAGGGCCCTGAGGACAACATCCACCCTTCACATTCATCCGCCCCGTCCCGTTCCTTTTCGTGCACTGTTTCCCCCTTCCCCCCACGGAAACACGCAGGCGACCATCGAGGATGGCAGCTTGCAGGTGAAGAAAGGAGAAGCCTCTTTTCTGTGCGCGTCTATCCGTCTCTTGGTCCATCTGTCTGTCTGTCTGTCTGGTCGGTTACACCGTGTGTATAGAAAAGGCGATCAGGGGCTTGGGTGCACACCGTGCAACCTTGGCTGGTGTGGGGGAGGCTTCTGGAAGGTGTGTGCCGAGCCCGGCGGTGGGCAAAATCTCACCAGCATGAAGCGGACTGCTTTCGCTGTCTTCAGACTTGGCCCTGAATCCAACTACTTATGCTATTATCCCCCTTGCTTTTCAGGCGCGCATATCGGAGATTGTGGATGCGGCGATGGTGCGGGATGGCCTCATGCCCGAGGTGGGCGGGTGTGATGGTGGTGTGGGTTAGGGCTGGGTGTTGGGTTCCGGATGGGTTCAGCATCGGCTGGAAGTGGGTTGGGGATCAGGTGCAGATGCAGGCAGAGGTGTTGGAACGGAGGCTCATGTGAATAGGTGGGGTTGGGGGTGATGGTAGAGGCGATTGGGGGGAAGGGTGGGGGGAAATTAGGAGGGATAGCTGTACATCGACGGAGGGTAACAAGGATAACGGTAAGAGGGAGGCGGAGGATCGCAACCCTCTTCCCAAGCCCCAGGCTTAAGACCCTAACCTAGAGCTGTACGAAAAATTTACTGTACGGCTACATCGGATAACGCACACAATTTACGACACGATGACGATGTTCTGATGCCCCCCCCTGCCGGCACAGGCCATGCTTGGCCTTCCCCTGCACATTCAAGAAGCGGCCGCATATCACGCAGAGCAACAGCAACAGCAGCAGCAGCAGCGACACACCCAGAGCAGCAACGGTGGGGTCAACGGCGGCCGGCCTGCATCTGTTGGCCCCTTGACAGCGGTGGCGGCGGCGATGGGGCCAGACCAGCACCTGTCACGCTCTTCCTCCGCCGCCACCGCTGCCCTGCGGCGCACTAGTGCCCTGCTTGCCCCCCGTCAACAACTCCCCCACTACGCCCACCACCGCTCATCCCGAGACACGCATTACGGACCCGCGCCGTGGGGGATTACCACGGAGGACGCCCTGGCGTCAAGTGGCCGCCCCTGGAGTCCGGCAGCGGCGCCGCCGCCGCCGGTGCCGCCGCCGCCGCCGCAGCTGCCCCACGTGCAGCAGCAACAATCGCAGCAGCAGACCTCGACGGCGGCCCAGCAAAAGGAAGGCAGCAGGAGCTGGCATGCTCGCACCTCACCGACACGGCCGCCATCGCTGGGGTGTCAGAGCCCAGCTGTACTGCCGGCGGCGGCAGAGGCGCTGCCCCCGCCAAGGCCCCAGCAGATGCCGACGCAGATGCCACCGACACGTCCCTTCCGCCGGGTGGCATCTCACCACCAAGGCCTCCAGTCCGCCGCCAGCGGCGGCGGCAGCGGTAGAGGCCGCGCCGGCTGTGGCATCTTGGGTGCTTTCGGCAGTTACGGCGACCTCGTGGAGGCGTCGACGTCAGGGAGGGTGACGTCGGAAGGCGGCATCAACCGTCAAAAGACGGCCCCGCCGGCGCTGCCGACGGTGGCGCCGGCGCATGTGGACGCCTCACCGGGAGAGGGCGGCGACGCCGGCTCGGCTCCCCGCAGGCTGCTGTCACCGCCGACGTCGCCGCTGCTGGAGCCGATCCGGGACGATCCCATCAGCATAGAGACGGGCGTCCTGCCGCCAACCGGCGAACAAGGTCAACGCGCACAACAGCAGCAGCAGCAGCAGCAGCAGCAAGAAGAAGAAGAAGAAGAAAGGTCACCAAGAGTGCATCATCCAGAGTTGCCACCACCGTCCCAATATTGCTTAGAGCAGCTTCAGCAGCAGTCACCACGTGATGCGGGTAAGGCAGGGGAAGGTCATCGACCAGAAACTGCAGTGGATGGGCTCGGCGTGGCAGCTGCGGAAACCCAGGCGGCGCCGCCGCGGCCTGTAGCGCGGGCGCCGCCGCCGTTACCAAAGGCGGCAGCGGGTGCGACCACCGCCGCACTGCACCGCGTGTCAAGCTCTACTGTTGCGCCGCCCAATATGGCCACGGGAGCCGCCGGCGCGGCAGGGAACCGTCGGTCCATGCTTAGTCGCATGTCTTCTCCGTTTGCAACGATTGCTGCAGCCTCTAATATTGGCGCCGCCGGCGGCGGTCCTGGCGCTGCCCCAGCCGCCGCCGCCGCTGTCAGTGGCGGCGGCAACGGCAACGGCGAAAGCCGACAGAGCCCCAACAGCCGGCCGACGATGGGACCGTCCGTCAGCTGTGAGGTGTGCGGTACGTGCTTCTGCCCCGGCTGCGGAGCTTGGACAAATCCAACCACGACGGCGGCAGCGGCGACTGGCCGCGGCCGTCACCAGGCGCCATTACCCTACCCAGCTATCTTCCATCACCAGCCACAGGCCCACAACACGACTACGTCAGGTACAGCCTTGTCCACCATCGGCCCCGGAGCCGGCGGCGGCGGCGGTGTGCCGGCGGCGATGTCACTGATGGACGCTGTTCGCGGCATTACTACCGGCGGCGGCGGCAACGCTGCCGGTGGCGGCGGTGGAGCCGGTGCCGCCGGCGCCGGCGGCGGCGGCAGCAGCATACGTCGCCGCACCATCGTGCCATGGTGGGCTCAGCAACAGCAGCAGCTGCCGTACGGTGCGCCACCATCACCCGGAGGTGGGGGAGGGGGGGGAGGGCCTGGCAGCCCAACCTACGCGCTGTCGCGCCGTTCCAGAATGTTCGGACGCAGTTTTGCGGCCACCGCGCGTGCCGATAGCCTCGCACGCGAGACGCTGTGGAACATGTCCTCGCAACGAGATGAAGATGATCTGACGTCCCCGTCAGTAGCGACTCTACGTGCGGCAGAGGATGAGTGAGTAATTGCGCAGGAAGCAAGTGTAATGCAAGACGAGGGCGCTTAGAAATGCGGTAAGATGTGTGATGAAGGGAAAGCTGCGGGTGGAAGTGCCGCACATGCATGGTTGGCGGCTGTGGGTATAGTGGGACTGTAGGAGGGGATTGAAGGGTCGAAGTATAAGGACAGCGGAAAAGGGGACATGGACGGAGGAGTAAGGGGAAAGGCGGAAGAGGCGACGTGAATCAGGTGGCGTCCTGCATTGCTATGTCGGCATGTGAAGTTCTTTTCGTTCATACCGCTATATATGCCGTTTCTGTATGCCTGTTTTTTCTTAAGCTTCTGGATTGCGCTCCTACTGTATACTGGTGCTTGGGTTTTTGTTTTCGGTTTTTTCAGTTTGTGTCTATTGTGCGCGAGAAGAGAAAATAAGGGACATCGATGCTCATGGCTGCTTCTGTTCATTGGCTGCTTCTTTTCAGAGCTTTAGTGTTCAATGGGTTACCTCGGATGAAAGTTAGACGAGAGTTTCATGTCGGCTGCGTCGTTATACATTTCGTCTTTGGTGTGACTGTTGCTTGCGTTGTTATCCGTACAAATGAGTCGGTGAATACTTTAGGTGAATTGGTGCATATGCTTCTGTGGCTTTGGCTTTATGTCCATAACATAAGGCCTTGTTAGCTAAATATTGCTTGTTGAGGAGATTAGGACACAAACTCTCTCCGTCCAGGCGCATGTGGACTGCGTGTTTCGTTTTGGTTACGTTTCATGCTGCCCAGGCTAATGATGGTGTCGGGGTTGGGGAAGAACTTTTAATTGTTGTTGGCGATCAGTGGTGGAGCTCGTGTTAGGGTGATTGAATTCTTTTGAGTGTTTTGGGGGGAAGAGGACCTGGAGTGAAGGTGGGCTGTTGGGGTAAAG